CCCCCTTTGTTAAAGATCAAATAGTGGAATGTGCTTAGTTGTTTCTGCATCCTGTTCTGTTCCATTGATCCTCATGTCTGTTTTTGTACCATGCTGTTTTTAATTAGTGTAGCTTTGTAATATAACTTCAAGTCTGGAATTCTGATGCCTTCCACTTTGTTCTTGCTACCCAGGATTGCTTTTGCTGTTCTAGGTCCTTTCTGGTTCCATATAAATGTTTGGATTGCTTTCTCCAACTCCATGAGGAATGCTGTTGGTATTTTGATGGGAATTGTGTTAAAACTGGGTGTAAGTTTTGGAAGAATGGCCATTTTGCCTATATTGGTTCTGCCTATCCAGGAATAGGAGATATCTTTCCATTTCCTGATGTTCTCTTAGATCTCCTTTTTCAGAATATTGTAGTTTTTGTTGTAGGTTTTTAAACAAACTTCCTTAGGTTAATTCCTAAGTATTTAATTTTTATTGGTGCTATTGTAAATAGAATTTTATTTACTAATTTCTTTTTTAGTGGGGTCATTATTGGTGCATAGGAATGCTAGTGATGTGTGTGTTGATTTTCTGTCTTGCTACACTGCTGAATTTGGTTATTAATTCTCAGAGTTCTGGTGGATTTTTTGGGGGATCTTCCATGTCTTGTAGACATACCATCTGCAAATACTCATAATTTTTTGTCCCTGGTACTGGGGATCAAACTCAGGACCTTGTGCTTGAGAGGCAGGCATGGCACCATTAAACTAAGTCCCTGGCCCGCAAATAAGATAATTTGACTTTTCCCTTTCCTATACATATTCCTTTTGTTTTCTTTTTTGGGGGGCCTAATTAGTCTTGTTAATGTTACGAGTACTATGTTGAACAGGTGTGGCGATAGAGGACCTTCTTGTCTTTTTCCTGTCTTAGAGGAAAAGCTCTCAGTTTCCACTCACCTAATATAATGTTGGAAGTAGTTTTGCTGTAAATGGCTTTATAACATTTAGATAAGATCCTTCTATACCTATTTTCTTCACTTTTTTTTAAATGAAAGTAACTGAATTTTGTCAGAGGCATTTTCTGCATCCATTGAGATGATCATGCGATTTTTGTCTTTCTTCTGTTTATGTGATGTATTACATTTACAATTTGCATATATGGAACCATCTTTACACCCCTGGAAATAAGCCTACTTGCTCATCATGTATGATTTTTTGATGATTCGTTGCATTCTATTTGCCAGTATTGGATTGAGAACCTTTGCATCTATGTTCATGAAAGAGATTGACCAATAGTTCTCTTTTTGCTTGTATCCTGGTGCAGTTTTGAAATCAGGATAATGCTAGCTTCCAAGAATAAATTTAGGAGTACTTTTTTCTTTCAATTTCATTAAATGTGAGGAGTATAGGTGTTAGATCTTCCCTGAAGTTTTTGTAGAATTCAGCAGTGAATCCATCCAGATCCGGACTTTTCCTAGTTGGTATCTTTATTACTACTTCAATTTCACTGCCTGTTATTAGATTATTCAGGTTTTTATGTCTTCTTGGTTCGGTTTTGGTAATTCATATGTATCTAAGGATCATCAGTTTCTTTTGAATTCTCCAATTTATTGGTGTCAAGTTTGCAAAATAGTTGTTAATGATGTAAATGATTCTGGTAGTGTCTGTTGTGATTTCACCTTTTTCAATTCTAATTGCATGGATTTGGATCTTTCATCTCTTTTTTGGCTAGACTGGCTAGGGGCTTTTCTATTTTGCTTATTCTTTTGAAGAACCAATTTTTCAAATCATTGATTCTTTGTATTTTTTGTCTCAATTCCATTGATTTCTTCTCTGCTCTTTATAATTTCTTTCCTTGTACTAGCTTTGGGTTTGGATTGTTCTTGTTTTCTAGAACCTTGAGGTATATCATTAGGTTATTTATTAGGACTCACTCTGTTTTCGTAATAATTTTGTGGGCATTCCCAGCTATGAACTTGCCTCTTAAAACTGCTTTTGTTGTGTACCATAAGTTCTGGTGTGTTGTACAGGCATTATCATTTAGTTCTAGAAATTGTCTTATTTATTTCTTGATTTCTTCTGTGACTTGTTGATTAAGAGTGTGCTGCTTAGTTTCCATACTTTCTGTGTTTTCTTTTGCCATTGATTTCTAGTTTCATCGCACTATGATCTGGTAATATGCATGGTATAGTTTTAATTATTTTGCATTTACTTAAGCTTGCTTTATTAGGTAGTATGTGATCTATTTTGGAGAAAATTCCATGTGCCCCTGAGAAGAATGTGTATTCTGTTGCTGGGTGGAACACTCTGTAGATATCTATTAAGTCCATTTGTTCAAAAGTGTGGTTCAACTCTGATATTTATTTGTTGATTTTGACTAGTTGATGTTTCTATTTGTGATAGTGGGGTATTGAGGCCCCCCACTATAATTGTGTTAATGTTTATGTGATCTTGTATGTTCAGTCATACTTGTTTTATGACATTGGTGCTGTTGGTCAGTACATATATGTTAATAATTGGTATTTATTCCTGTTGGATTGCCCCTTTAACCAATATCTTGTGACTTTTTTTTGCCTCTTGATAACTTTTGGCTTGAAGTCCTCTTTGTCTGAATAGAGGATAGCTACACCTGCTTTTTTTCAGGTTCCCACTGCATGGAATATTGTTTTCCATCCTTTGATTTTGAGTTTATGGGTTTGGGTTAAATATGTTTCATGTATTCAGCATACTGGTGGAGTTTATTTCTTGATCCATTCTGCCAATCTATATGGTTTGATTGGGGAATTGAGACCATTCACACTGAGTTATTGCCTTATTTTCCTGTTGTTTATTTCCTATCTTTCCCTTCTTTTAATCTAGTGTAGCCACTCTATTAGTCCTTTTGTTATTGTTAGCTTACTTTTCTCTTTTTAGTATATCCTTGAGAAATTTTTGGAGTTTTGGTTTCGTGGTTATGAATTTCTTTAGGTGCTCATTATCATGAAAATATCTTATTTCTCCATCAACTTTGAAAGATAGTTTTGCAGGATATGTCAGCCCAGATTGGAAATTGTTTTCTTTAAGGGCTTGAAACACTTCACTCCAAAATCTCCTGACCTTGGTTTGTGTTGAGAATTCTGTTGTAATTCTAATGGTTTTACCTTTATAAGTGGTTTTTTGCTTTTCTCTAACCACTTTTAAGATTCTATTCTTGTGTTTGACTTCTGGGATTTTGACTATGATGTACTGTGGGGAGGTTTTTTTCTGATTGTGGGTATTTGGGGTTCTATATACTTCCTTATCATATGTTTAATTCCTTTCCCTCATTTGAAAAGTTGTCTGCTATTATTTTAGTAAACAGGTTTTTATGCCATTTATGCTATCTTCTGATTTTTACCTTATTTCAATTCATCTTAGTCTTCTTCATGTCATATAGAAGCTGTTGGATCCACTTTTCATGTTCTCTTATTGTTTTAAAGGCATCTCTCATTAAATGGTCACCGACAATCTCCTTGTCTTCTAGTTCTGAGACTTCTGATCCCCATACTTTCAATTGAACTTTTTTTTTTTGTACCGGGGATCGAACTTGGGTCCTTGTGCTTGTGCAGCAGGCAGTGAAACCACTGAGCTAAATCCCCGCCCCTCAACTGAATTTTTAATCTCATGGTTTCCTATTTGGAACTGTTTCGTGAACTCTAATTCTTTTTTATACTAGTCATTCATATTTTGTATCATTTTGTTTAGCTTGACCAGGTTTTAATCAAGGTTTTCTGTAGACTCTGATCCTTTTGTTTGTTCGGCCCATTATCTGTTTACTTATACTTTCTGTGGGTTTGGAAAACATCTTATTCATTTGTTTTGTTCTCTCCTCTGTTAACACTTTGGAAAAATTTGGCTCTGTGGCCTTTGGTTTCCTCATGTTGGATGCTACATGGATCAGCTTTGGGGGAGTTGGAAGTTTTGGAGGGCATTTTGTTGGCTTGTCTTCTTATGTTTCTAGTTTTTGCTTGCGTTTTTGTGTTAACCTCATGGACTGATTATAGTAGCAAGCCTTGTTGCTAGTATGTAGATTATTTAATTAATGTCTACTTTTTGGTGGTTCTCACTGAGCATGGCTAACTATTGGCCTTTGCCTCTGTCCCAGGATCAAACCACCTCTGTTTACTTGGGAGTTAAAATAAACTATATTTTTAAGGATGCATACAATTGTGGTAAAGCTAATAAAATGAAATGTTTGTTACAAAAATACAAATAGTTGTTATCTCTGAGGTGGTGATGGTTCTCTGAACAGGGAGGGCACACAGGAGACTAGGGGTGATGGCATGTTCCGCTTCTTAGTTACTAGCTATTTGAGTGTTTATTTGATAGTTATTCATTAAATTATTCAGTCAAGTTTCTGAACTTTCCTAACTGACTGTTATGTTGCACCTTAAGAAGAATTACAAAGGGATGTAGTTTGTGATCTAGAATTTAGCAATATGACTTGGGGAAATTTTTATTCTGAGAGTATTTAGATTTTTAAGGCCTTCTTTCTAGATTCCTCCAGATTCATACTCTCCAACATTTAAAAAGTATCTCTTTCTCAAGGTATCCTGCAGTCCACTTTTTAGGAGATGCTATAATATCAGTAAGCAACCATTTTGGAGAAACATTATGGAAAGGCATATGGTCAAGAAGCTGCTCTGAAGGTGCCGTTCTGCTTTGCTGTTCTTTCAGTATAAACTAGATTTCATTTCTAGATTTATGAAAAGCTGATCTCCATTCTTGGGCTCATACCATTTAATTTGCTGGATGGCTGTTGTGAGAATATAATGAGATAATATATGGTAGCTACTGTGAATTTTTATAAAGCAAGTAAACAATAGCATAAATGATTGCTCTAGAACCAGATAGTGTTTTTTAATTGCACAAATTTCAGGAAGAACTAATGATAGCTTAATATGGTTTTCTATTTGGAACATTTCCTTCTTATTGTTTGATTTTTTTCTTTTTTCTTTCTTTCTTTTTTTTGACAATGGATACTAACCCTCCCTCCTCCACCTCCTTATATCCCAGGACTTTTATTTACTCATTTCTCACTAGAGGGAGGCCTTATCCAGCAGTGCTCCTTTTCCAAGGAATAGTCTTCTGCATCGGAAATGGATTCCTTCAAAGCTACTATCTGATTTACTGTGCAGAATACCCTGAAGAGTGGTTCACAGACATCCGGTTTAGCTTGGGTAAGTGAATCTGACCACCTCTCACCCACGGTCAAGCTAACACCCCCTCCTTCCATGTAAGTCATATTTCCTCTCCCCGTTCTACTGCAGTGACCTCCTAGTGATCCCATTCTCCTCTCACCCCTTTACTCAAGTCTTTTTTTCTGTATTGCAGCCAGAGAGATGGTTCAGATGTTCTTGGACTTTCCAATTTCCCAACCCATTTTCTATCACTCTCCACTTCATTTCTATTTCTGGCCCCAGTGGCCTTCCTGCTATGCTGAAAATTGTTGAGCTTTTCTTCTTCAATTTCCACCTCCTCAGAGACTGTTCCTGACCACCTTATCTAAAAGAATTGAAGACAAAGATCATCGAATTATTTTTTTCATGATTTGGTAAGAGGAGTTAAAGTCCAAGAGGATTCAGTTATTTCATAGTATTTTGGCCCAGATTTTTTTAAAAAATAGGACAACAGAGATTATAGTTAATCCCTATTAGTATCACACATTACATCCTATCTGTCATTTTAATACCCGTGGCTCTAACTGTAGACCATGTACCTAAGGGGCTCTCTTTTACATGGCTGCCTCAATGTCACCCTAGTCAAAGGCACACTGATCTCCTGCTTGCAGTTCCACAATCACTTCCAAACTGAATTTCCTCCTCCATTCTGTCCTTGAACAACTCATTCTTCATGCAGTAGTCAGTGAATATTCAGACACACATGACCAGAGGATTCATTGACTGAGCAGTGGTATCTGTGCACAACAGAGTATTCTGTGGCCAGAAACACACACATAAACAAACAACAACAACAAAACAACACCAGAAAGATTTCTGTGCTTAGGTAGAGACACCTCCAGGGTACGTGGCTAAAAAAAGAGAGATGTGAACAGTCTATATAGTATGCTTTTTTAAAATGGGGAAATGAGGTAGAAGGAAAAGTGTGCGTGTGTCTGGAAAAGGAAATATTAGAATTATAAAAATTTCCCTATACATTATACATGTTGGAGTAAAGAATCTGGGGTAGGTAGAATGGGGCAGGTAAAGAAAAGGCAGAGCTTTTCTTTCATTATAGTTTTGCCCTTTGAATGATGACAATTAAAAAAAAAGTTACATTGAAGAGGAGATTTCCAGAACTGATAGCACACAGATATACCTCACTATACAGCAAATAGAGCAGAGCCAAGCATGTGGACATAAGCCAGTATAGCTAGAAAAAGGAGCATTCCGGAGGTCCACTGTCTGATGTCTTCAACAAGTCAGTGACAGCCCCTAACCCGCCAAAGGCAGTGGTCTGAGCTAGTGCTTGCTGTGACTTTTTACTTACCATCCTTTCCTTTCGGCCCTGTCCACTCCATCCTTAGGCTTCAGGGGCACTGGACCTTCATGTCTGCTGGTGCCTCTGCCAGCTTGCTCTCCCTCAGGTTTCTGTATTCTCATTCTTCACATCACAGGACAAATGCCACATCTCCCAAAATACTTTCCTCAGCTACCTTCTCTAAAGTAGAGACAGTGTCCACCTACTATACCCTGCAGCTCACTACCCTACTTTGCTTCTCTGCACTGCAGGGGATCATTACGTAATTTTACTTTGAGTTTTGAATACTTTAATTCATCTCTGCGTTCCTCCACTAAAATGTAGGTTCCACAACAACAGACACTTTGACTATTTCCTTCATTCTTGTATCCTCAGTGCTTAGGATAGTGTTTGGTACGGTGTAAACCCCTAATGAATATTAGTTACATAAATGAATGACTGCATGCACAAACACACAGGTGATCCTCATTCCATCCTTGTGAGATAGGAGATGTTAGAAGCTACATTTTACAGATAAGAAAATTGAGGCTGACTGACATGCAGTGACTTTGCTCCAGGACACACATACAGCTGGTCCCAGGTCCCTGACTTCCTTTACTGCTGTCCATGCTGTCACCTTCTTCCCTACTACCCCTTACCTCAGGACATATATTTTTTTCCCAAGGCAAGGACCATTTGAGTAGACAAAGTGGAAAATCACATATCAAATAAAGTGAGAGATCTGATTGTTTTAATTCAACTTTTCTAGCTTTTTGTCTGATCAGCACAAATACATTTTCTGGAGAAGTAAGGTCAGGCCTCTGTGTGAGACAGGGTGTGTTTCTGGGCTGTGATGCCCACTGGGACCCAGGACCTAACATCTCTAAACCTAGAACTTCTTGTCTAAGACCAGGGTCCTTTCTGTACCAGTGACTGGTACATGTCAGGATACCTTCAGCATATGTGGTTAAGTAAGATGAATAAAGTTGTGGACTGTACATACGGTATGTATGCCTTGTTTTATGTAAGTGTGTGTGTGTGTGTGTGTGTGTAAGTGGACTGCAGAGGTGGAAATCAGTTTGCTGGTTGTGAAACCCTTCAGTCTAGCTACTCTACTTTCAGGAGAATGGGAAACTCAGTCAGAAATGCTCTCAGCAATGAGTCATGGAAAACCAATTAGTAACAACCTAACTCGGAATCCATACATCTTACATAACGAGGAGTGTCCAGAGGAAGATGGCTTCTGCATCCTTTTGTTTGCTTACTAATACATGAAGAACCCTGGCCTTTCTCTCTTAGTGTGCCACTGTTCTTAGAATATTTACCTGTGGTCTTCATGTTAGTCACTTTGTGGTTACAGGACCCTGGCTGCAGCTCCAGGCATTACATTGGCAATCAAGCCAGGATAAAAGAGGAAGTAAAGGCATTGGCCACACTGGCCTTTATCAGAAAAGCAAAAGATTTTTTTAGGAAGACTCTGGAAGATTCTCCCTTACATTTTATTGGTAGAATCAGATCATGTGGTCACCTTTCAATTTTGCAGCTTCTGTAATGGGGTGGGAAAGGGGAATAGGTTGAAATTCACTACTGAGCTGGCCAAGAAGTTTGATTATTTGCCCAGGGCTCGCTGTTACTCGTGTATCTGTTTGCTTAGTTTTAAAAATATTGAACAGCGTTTCTTCCTCTCAGTCTCTTCTCTTCTCTTTCCGTCTCTGTCATGTGTCACTCTGCATACATAACAGCGTTTTATTTTTGCAAACAGTACAACACCTCCTCCACCTGAACTTGGGACCATATCTTAGTACCATTTCTAGATTTAGAAATTAAATATTCCTCCCTTTATTTTTAGAAAAAAAAACACAAAGCAAAACTTAACTTGTACAAAAAAACCACTAGAATTGAAACACATTTTTCTTTTTCTTTTTAAAAATGTCTCCTCTCTCTCCTTTGCCAAGGTGTCTTCCTATTTATTTTGGGAATGGGAATCAACATTCATAGTGACCATACCTTGCGCCAGCTCAGAAAGCCTGGAGAGGTCACCTACAGGATTCCACAAGGTAATGTCCCTCCGCTTCCCAGATTCCCATTCTTCCTGGGACCCTGTCCTAGGCATTAAGCTTTGAGTAACGAATGAAAAGGGGCATCAAAGGCACAAATATGCAACATGTGCTGGCTTGCTCTCGACTTCCCCTCCACATCTGGTCCTCTCCATAGCACACCTCCGTGTCTGATGTGAACCCCAAAGCTCAAGAGAGCCCCTAGGAAGGAAGAGTACAGCACCCCGATGGTGGGAGAAGTGTCATTACATAGCACACCACAATACACTTTTTGGAGATAAAGACAGAGAATGTTTGAAATCCTAACTGTTCCCCAGAAATGAAGGTGTGAGTTTGACAAAGAAGCATGTGGAAAGGGATCAGTTCAAGGGATACTTTAATATATTTAGGTGGCTCCTACCCTTCTTGATATAAATACAACACTTTATGTACAGCAAAAACAAAATTCCTAAATTCTGACATGATGTTAGTGTAGACTGATATCCATTAAATGAGAAAATAATGAAAAAGCTACTATGAATTCAGTAATACATGTAAGTAATTTGATTATTATTAATACCCTGTTAGTATGTTCCTTAAAAATAATACAGCAGGTAGAGAAATACCCTTTAGTGTATTTCTAGATAATTTGCAAAACATCACTGGCTCCTCCCAAGGTCTAGGGAATTGTAGGTAGGGAACCACTGGTACACTGTCACCCTAAAGCAAAATAATTTTAAGGCATCTTGATATTTTATAAGGTCTTTCTTCACTCAATAACTAGACAAAGAAGAGCAGAGAAAGTCCTTAAACGCCATATTGCCAAGATTAGTCTCCCACTTTTGAGTTATGATAGAAAATAAAAATATTTTTATATAACTATAGGAAGAAAAAATTGTTTTGGTCAAGATTTCCCAGTTTAATATGAGTCATAAAATTTGAGTGTGATATATTTAATATCGTTAGAAATGTGCTGATTTCTAGATACATTTTGGACAGAGGAACTATCTGGTTGGGTAGACAGCGAAACACTTTCTACAGAAATCAACAAAAGCAGACCTCACCAGCCCCTGGCAGGACAAGCTTGGTCAGAGTCTAGGGTTTAACAGAGGTGCAGGAGTGGGAAGAGCAGATAGGAGACGCAAATGCCAAAAGAGACTCTAACTTCTCGCATCAATCCAGATTTTTACTATTTTAACGTAGTGTGTCGTTTCACGTAGTGTGACTAAGTGTGTGCCACATGATGACCAGCAGTGGAAGTGTCTGAGAAGGGCAGGAAGGCAAGAAGCAGCCCATAAACTCCCCTTCATAAAAAGAAGCAGAGTTCCCACTTCTCCTCCCTGTCCTGTCCCAAGCTCACATCCAGCAGTCAGTCGTTAGCCACTCCCATAGAGCCCGTCAGGCCGCTCCTCAGGATTCCAAATGTTCTATGGGGAACGTTGCTGTTGCTTTGTTTTCCCTTTTCCCCAAGAAAATCCCACTGAACTCCTATGGCTGTGCAGGGAGTGTCCAGCCCCGCACTTGTCCTAGTTACCTGCATCTAACGTCACAGCGATTCGGTTCCGAGTGTTGACTCTGATTCTTCTGCACACAGGTGGCTTGTTTACGTATGTTTCTGGAGCAAATTTCCTTGGTGAGATCATTGAATGGGTTGGCTATGCCTTGGCCACTTGGTCTCTTCCAGGACTTGCTTTTGCATTTTTCTCACTTTGTTTCCTTGGGCTTCGAGCTTTTTACCACCACAGGTAAGCCAGGCTTTTTTCCCTTCCCCCCTCCGTCCCTCCCTCCCTCCCTCCCTTCCTGGGGATCAAATCCAGGGCCACTCTGTACTAAGCTACATCCCCAGCCCTTTTTGTTGTTTTTGAGACAGGGTCTCCCTAAACTGCATAGGTGAGACTGGAATTCGCTGTCCTTCTGCCTCAGCCTCCCTCAGTGCTGGGGTTACAGGTGTGCCACAACTGCACCTGGAAAATTTTCAATAGAGGTGGCAGCATCCATGTACTTTTCTTTTCTAAACAGGCTTCTAGCACATGCAGTCAGATTTAGAGACGTAAGATATTTATTTTTATAAGGGAAATTCGATACAATACTTTGGATTGTTAAATTCTGACTTTTTAAGTCTTTTACTGAAGTTGAAATTTAGATGACAGTAGCAGTACGTTTTTTCCCCTAAGGTTAAAAATAAGCTCAGGGAGACAGAAGCACCTGAGGTGACCCCTGAGAAGCTTGTTTAAGGCTTCCCAGTGAGGGGCGCCTTCCATCACTTGAGTTAGTTAACCCAGGCTCTGGGCCTGGTGATAGTTCCTGCTTGGCACTCAGCAATAGATAACAAGTTAAGAGGCAGAAGAAGTCAATTCCATTCCCATGCTTCTATTCAAATCCCTCCCCTCACCTTTTTTGAAGCATGTTCCACAGGTGAGTCCACGGCCAGCACTTTCCAGAACTTCACTGGTAATTCTGAGGTGCAAACAGGATACAGAACCACTGGGAAAAAGCACGATGCCTGTGCTTTATGGCTGCTCTCTTTTGGGGGGAGGGTAATTTAATTTGAAGTTTGGTGCCAACCGTTCGGGTCTTCACAGAGCCCGGTAAACTGCTGAAGGATGATTGACCCTAGAATCTGTGCAAAGCAGGGCTTGTTCTGATATTTCTCTCTTTCCCCCGCTGCCCCTCTGCCTAACTCCTAGTCAAGGTCTTCCCTGCCCACCTGGGAAGGTAGGGTAAGCCTTGGTGCGGGCAACTGTTTTAGGATTGCCCACTCTGCTGGTATGAGCCGGGATTGCAGGCACGGAGACCCCTTTGAAGGTTAGGTCTACGGCTTCCGTGACACCTGCAAACCAGGGATGAGGGGGACAGCAGAGGTAACTAAAAGTATCATTAGAAGGGAAAGGGTAATGTATTAAGTTGTTGTCAAGATTTAAACCTGTGCATGAACTTCAGATCTTTGTCCATGGCTTTGGGGGAAGAGAAAAGCCTGTGGTTCCTGGACACTGGGAGGGAAAGTGTGGATGCCCGAAGGGAGGTGGGCTAGGGCCTAGGGCCCCAGGGAGCCCCTCAAGCTCTTGCTTTGGTGTCTCAGCCTGGAACACGGTTCATTTTATAGTTTTGAAGGTTAAACAGAAGACAGGTCTTCTACGTGGAGTTTATGGCCCAATTCGGAGATGAATGAAGTCAGCATTGCCCTGCCACCCTCTCCACTCAGCAGGAACTGCTGACAGAGCTGTTAAGAGTCACACAACAGCTCTCCCCTGCCACAGGCAGAGGGCGCGGGAGAGGACAGCGTGTCACCCAGTACTCAGAGGGGCCCTGAAGAGCGCAGGCCCTTGTGTTTGCTGTGGGAAGGGACAGCAGCACCACCAAATGTTTTCAGCTGGTGCCAAAACCAAAATCCAAATGGATACCATCTGGTTGTGAAAGACTGCCCAGAGAGAGGGCCGGCCAGAGGATGTCTCTTTTATAGGACTGAAACGGCCTTGTGAAGGCACTTAGGAAACGAGGTCAGGTGTTCATAGCAGAGACCACACACACCGTCCTCTCAAATCAAAAGCTGAAAACCAACCGCCTCCTGCAACAGTGTTACTGTTTGTCCTCCACTTCAAACTAAGGTACTTCAGCAGAGTGTATCGTTTTGATTACGCCTTGGGTGCAACCAGCTTCAACTAGTGCACGGCACCACCTGGTAACTGCAAGTGACAGCTTTCTACGAGATCCATTTTTCTCCTAGGGCTGCCCTAAGAAACGACCACCATCTGAGTGGCTCAAAATAACAGGAAGTTATTCTCAGATGGTTCTCAAGGCTAGAAGTTAGGAATTAAGGTGTAGGCAGGCCCTGCTCTCTATGGCAAGGATCCTTCCTTGCCTCTTCCCAGCTTTGAGTGGAGACTGGCCGTCCTTGGAATTCCCTGGCTGACAGCTGCCTCACTCCGATCTCTGCCTCTGGTTCTTTCTTCTCCTGTCTCTGTGTCCATGTTACATGTCCTTTAAGGATACCAGTCATACTGGATTGAGGGCCCATCTTGCTCCAGTATGGCCTTATTTTATTTTATTTTATTGGTACCGGGGATTGAACTTGGGTCCTTGCGCTTGGCAGGCAGTTTTGGTGCCACTGAGCTGAATCCCTGGCCCTACTACATTCTGTTTTGAATTTTTTTTTTTTTGTACCAGGGATTGAACTTGGGTCCTTGTGCCTGTGCAGCAGGCAGCAAAACCACTGAGCTAAATTCGCGGCTATGACCTTATTTTAAATAATTATAGCTGCAATGGTCCTAGTTCCAAACTAAGGTCACCTTCTCAGGTACTGGGAGTTGGGATTTCAGTCTATCGTTTGAAGGGACAAAATTGAATCCAAATACAGAGGTCTTCCCAGGCTTCATGAAGGAATATTTTCCAGGGATTCTCTGAGGTTAACTTTGCTCATGGCCTTCGGGAGTCTCTGCTTCTGTATACTTCTCAGCTGAATCCAAGTAAGCACTTCTTTCTGGCTACTGCTTTAGAAAATTCTGCTAAAATATGGATAGCACGAGACTTACCATTTTAACAACTTTTAATATAAAATTCAGTGGCATTGAGTATATTCATAATATAGTGCAACCATTACCACTACCATTACCACTTCCCGCTATGACTTTTTATTTCTCAACATGAGATGAAGCAGCATTTAAAAGAGATAGGCTGGAGGGAAGAGAGAATGCAGGCAAGTGGCCACCCAGAGAAGCCAGGCCCTGGGTAACTATAGGTTGACTTGTAATGACTATTTCCGACTCTGAAAACCTCAAGTGGTGAACTGCTGTTATATTTTCACTACTTTCTTGTCTTCCAGGTTCTACCTCAAGATGTTTGAGGACTACCCTAAATCTCGGAAAGCCCTCATTCCATTCATCTTTTAAAGAAACCAAATTAAAGAGGAGCAAAAGATCCCACAATATCAGTGAAAACTGTCAAGCTGCTAAAATTGTGACTTGTAAAGTAGAACTTTAAATGCACATATTAAATATATACATACATGTATACATGTAATTATACACAAATCCATATGATACAGAACAGTAGGTCTCTTGTTCTGCCTGCTGGCTTGGAGATTCGGAACGGTGACTGCTTAGTTTTCTCCTGCCCTGCTAGGGACTGTAACCTGATTTCCTACTGGAGCTTCAGGAAAGCTTTGTCCAGATGAAGATAGTTACTTCTCAGCTATCCCCAGAAAGTACAGAACTCCCCTCATGTGTCTTCTCATTAGATGAACCAAGTCCATGTGGGTTTCTCCCACCCTGACTTCATGTGGCCCGGCTCTGTCGTTGAGACTGTTTGGGGTAAGGCAGCACTCATGAACTTACTGAAGGTATGCATTCTGTACTTATACAGAATAGCAGAGATTTAAATTCTGAATCCCCATAGATGCCAAGCATAGTCACTCCTAAATGAGAACCTGGCTATTCCTTCTCTTTCCTTGTTCATTAGGAAAGATATAAAATAGCAGATGTTTAATAAAGAAGCCCTCTCCTTATGTGGCTGAAAATGTACTGACACTTTGACTCCAGTTAAAATTTGTGTCATGTCTTCATTGATGAACACCTTGGTCTTCCAGAAGATTCTGCAATCCCCATTATAGACAACATGGTCTGACCCAGGAAACTGGTATGGGTTTTCTTAAAGACCAGGCTTTAAAGACTACAAAGAAAAAGACATGAACCTGAATGGGTACTGAGGGAGTAAAGAAATGTTTGGTAGTGGACACTGTGAACTCTCATGTTCTAGGAAACTGATGGGAGGATCCAAATAATGGGAACATGTCAACTAAGGGAAGCTAATGAGTAAGATCTGTGCCATTTGTCTTGACAAGATGTCCACAATGAGATGAAGTACACCAGAAGAACTGAGCAACTTTCCTCTTCTAGAATTTCTTCGCCACGGTCCTTAGGAAGACAAGTCCCAGGGGTAGCTTGAACCTCGGCCCTCAAAAGTCTCAGTGGAAGAAGCTGAAAACTACAGACAGAGAGCCAAATCCAGTCTGAAAATCTGCTTTGTTTTGGTCAGTGTTTCACACATAGCTTGATTTTTTTTTTTTTTGCATTTAAAATTTTCAAAATCTAAAAATTAGGATGTTTCTGCTGAAAACTTTGACATTCTAATTTCCTTTAAAAAGCTGGAGGATTTCAGCACACAAAATCCATGTTTCTATATGAGAATTTGAAATGGAGAAGCAAGTAAGTTTTTCAAGGTCTTAAGGTGGGACCACCCTGCTTCGGGCCCTGAGACACTGGACTCTGTGGAAGGGGCTGAGCACTCAGGATCAGAACACAGTGAAAACCTTGGCCTGCTCAGGGCCAGGTTGTGGTTGACATCGGCACCATTTAGCAATCCTGCTTGAGAACTGAGTGCCATCAAATATGGTGCTAACTACAGAAACTCACCGTAGGTAACTGGAAAGATCAGAGGCTAGTTACGGTAGACTGCTAAAAAATACAAATTATAATTACATAAATAAGTAGTTCATTAAATGCCTGTCAAATCATAGATGTTAAGTTTGTTTGAATTAAAAGATCCTAATGGGCTGGGGATTTAGCTCGGTGGCAGTGCCACTGCCTGGCAAGCGGAAGATCCTGAGTTCGATCCCCGGTACCCACCCGCACCCCCCCCACCCCCGACCCTAAGGCTTCTGGAGATTTTTACAATGCATTGAGCTATGGATTTTCCTTTTTTCTCACCATGTTTTCTTGGTGTTGCTTTCTCTTTTGTCTTCTCTCTTCATTTTGGCAACCTGAAACTGGGGGGCTGTGAGCAGAAAATAAACTATGATTTATAGAGCTTCTCAGTCACAGCTCAGAAGTCCAAGGAAGTGCAATAAATAAAGGTGTAAAAAAAAAAATGCTCTGAGGTTTCAGCTGCCCCTGAGTTCAGAGACAGCCAGGGGGAAAATGCACTCAGTGCGTTTCTCAGCCTCCTGACACTGAAACAAACACCAGAGATAAATCCATTTATAAAGAGAAAAGACTTATTTTGATTCACAGTTTTGGAGCTCCGTGATAGCCTGGCCCTGTTATTGGGCCAGCCCGAGAGGGGCGTCATGATGAGGGCCCTGGGGTGACAATGCTGCCACCTCCTGGCTGGGAAACACGAAAGGCAAGGAAGGAGAGCAGGAAGGGAGAAGAGAGGAAGCGGAGAGCAGGTCTCAGTCCTCTTCCGGCGCATGCTCCCAGTGACCCAAAGAGCCTCATCGCTCAGGTTTCTACCGCCTGCCAACAGCGCGGCGCTGAGGACCATGCCTCTGACACGACAGCCTTGGAGGACGCTGAGGGTGTGAACCACAGCGCTCAGTAGGATAAATCTTCTTCCCTAAAACGAAAGACTTTTAGTTCTCTCCGTGACATTGAAAAATCGCCTTCCGTAGATAATTTATCTTATCAGCATGTAAAAAAGCCCCAAACAGTCTTTCAAATTTAGTAAGGGCTCAGTGCCAGGCATCATTTGTCTCCCACATTCTCAAACTCAGGCCGAAACGATTTCGCAATTGCATGTTTTTGCCACATGAGGGCGCTCTCTAGAATTATACTCGGGTCAACCCTGAGCCAGCTTTCTTACTATTTGGGAAGAACAAACAAAACAAAACCACCACAGAATTCCAACGGTATTGTCATTTCGACTTAGCATGATTATAGACCTTCCCAGTTTAAATATAACGTAGCTAGAACTCCATGGGATCTGAAAGCTTCCTGGGGAATTGAGGTATTCTTAGTGCTCTATGACTTGTTTTTAACCACTTTGTTTATGGCTAGCTTTTATGTATATGTATTAAATGTAATAAAATACGAATATGTGCTCATGCGTAGACACATTTCTTTTCAATTTCTGCTAAAAATATAGTGCACCAAAATAAGGATATTGGAGGTATCTGAGGAGTGGTTTTGGTTAAAATACTATCAGAGTACTATGAGTAGCTAACAAGATTATCTGTCTTGGTCTTGCTGAAAAATCTTCCACAGAGGCAATGTTTTCCAGTGATCTTGTAGAAGTCAGGGTTTATTTATTTCTCTGAGGTTAGACTTAAAAAGCTGGCGTCTGTCAGCTGGTCTCACACTTTCCGACTGTAGATGGAGACACTGAGACTCAAAGTTAAATTGCTTCCCAGAGGCTCATAGCCGGTTAACCACCTCTCATCATGTTCCTCTGAGAGTCAGAAGTCTTTTTCTTCTCAAGGCACAACATACTTTCAGAAGAGAGACCTAACTGAGCCTGACGGGTCTGAACATGTGCAATAATCCCGAATTGGCTATTTACTAAATGAAAAACCTTAGTGGGTGGGAGGATAATTTTTGGGTGGAGGGAGGGTGCTAGGGATTGAACCCAGGGCCCTGAGCATGCTAAGCCTATGCTCTGCCACTGAGCTACAGATGCAGCCATGAAGATGTTGCTGAATTGCTGTTTGGGTTTCTGTAGAACTCATGCAAGAGAAAAACAACCCGAGCTCAAGTGCTGGGCTACAACTCAGCCATATACCTGTTAGCTTGCAAATATTTGTGAATGGCCTGTTTCTCTCATTCTGTGGGAGGAACAGGCAGATACCTTTGTAAGAGATCTATTTGAGAAAATGAGGGGTTTCCAGCCTTGGTGTAGAAAAGATGACCTTTGTGTCCAGTGTGAAAAAGACTATTTATTAACTCCCCTTAAATTCGACTCTCATAGGAGCAACAATGGCTTCACTGTATTGTAAAAGGAAAAAAGGATCTCTAATGAGAAATTGGAAACTCAAGGGTGCTTATGTAGCCTAAACCTTTCCAGGAATAAATAAATCAACCTATAGTTTCAAAGTCCTGTAGAGTTACAACAGCAGTCTTAACTGTGGTTCCCTCATGGCAATCTTGCTGTGGTGTAAGAGGGGAGGGACTAAGAAGGCTCATATCATTTCCTGCGTGGCCTTTGATTCTCAGCCTATGGGCTGAGGTCCAGGCATGGCTATTAAGCAGGGTAATAGTGAATCCTTCTAAAGAGGGGACTGCTGATTGTTTTATAGCATGAACACTATGGGAGGATAAAAAAAGAGAGGCCTGGAGCCAGGTGCTATAGGGGTGCTTGGATGACTTAATTGGGCCACTGAGTGGGTTTAATTGCTAAATAAGATGCATGTTCATTTTCACTACAGGTCCACTGAGCTGTAATCTTATAAGGGTCTGCATTTTTTGTATTGTGTTTCATTTCTTCCCTCCCTTCTTAGCTTAGGATTTGGATGGCTGAAATAGATGGTTGAGGAAGGTTAAAATGTGCACCGTGCTCTGTTGACTGCTTGAGTCCTGCACTTTTTGGGTTCTGAGTTTGGTTTTGCCGAGCAGAGCCTGGCTGGCAGTTGCCTCGCACCTCTTCCCACATGGCAGGTGGCTGAGGGGGAGAGGATGGAGAGAAAGGAGGCAGGCAGGACCCCTTGGAGGGCAGGCAGTGGGAAGGGCTTTGGGAGAGACTTCCTGATAGAGTGGGCCTTTTTCCTCTCCCCGAGTCCAGGAAAGAGGCTCCTCTGAGAGAATGAGTACACTCTTCTTAGAGCTCCATTCTCATGAGAGGAAACGCCGAGTTTCCTTAAACGCAAGCCATGTGGCTGGGCCTCCCCATCAAAAATGTAATTGTATCTCTGTCAGCTCACCTCATAAAGATGGTTTTTGGCTTGCGTGGTAGTGACTTTGTGAGAAAAAGGTGAAGCAATGCTTCTGAGAAGTGTGCGGTGGTATCCAAGAGGCAGGAGGACAGTGGGTGGAGGGGAGCATCCAGAGGAGCAAGCACGGCTCCTGGCCTGGGCTGGCCTGGGTTTCCTTCACTCCAGGGGCTCCAGAAACAAAAGTCTCTCCTTAACGGGATACGCTGTTTCCAGTGTGTACCAACTATGTTTCATTAATTCACTAATCAGTGGTTTACTTTTGTCACAAGTTGTCTTTCAGATAGAAGGGCGATGGATAGCAGCAAAATATATTATCTGCATTGAAAGCCTTCCACAGTGTGAAGCTGGGGGGAGAGCGTGCATGCATACTGAGAGAGCATGGGAGGGCATGCATGCATGTATGAACCTGCCAAGACGAAACTGAGTAATCTGCATAGCCAATAAAAAGTGAAAAAATGTTCTCTGCGATGGTTTGTAACAGGAGAAACCACCAACAGATACATAAGTGGAGATAAGCAAAAATAAGAGCATTAAATAAAGCCAGAAGTAAAGTTAGAATGTCAAAATACATGCCAGAAAATCACGAGCAGTAGTTCAGACCTAAGCTTAAATTGGTGCTGAATCCTCAAAGTAAAGAAATAAATGATCAGTGGTCAAATTCACAGAATTCCTGAGATTCAAAGGAAAAGAAAAAAGGGTGTGGGTTGTCGGGGGAGGACAGCCATTGCCAGTTCTGAAAATGATGGCGCATTTCTTCATTGTGTGACGTGGGGGCATTTTTATGATAAGGACGACGGTCACTTTTGCTGCGCTTCTTAAATGCCTTTCCAGCAGGACAGTAATCTAACGCCAAAGCTCAATTTTGTAAAAGCAAAGGGTCTGAGGAATTTTGTTGCCACTTAGCATACAGAAAGCCACAGAAATCATCAGTCTTCCCTTAATGAGAAGAAAATCCATGCAGTATACACAATCATGGCTGATGTTGAGCCCTTTCATGAGCCCATACAGGAAAGCAGCCAAGAGAACTGGATTCCCAAGGGCGAGCGGGGCACACGAACTGTTGTTTCACTTCAGGCAAAGTATAGGGAAAGGTTGCTATGAGAGGAGGAAACAAGGGAAAACGGCAATTCCGATGAGTTCTTAGTAGCTGGGCGGCAGAAGGTATCTATCAGGTTCACTAATAGTCTTGGTCTGCCCAGCGATAAGGGGTCCCTTCCCTGGGACACGGGACTTCATACGCAGCCTGGGAAAGTCCCAGCCAATCAGGATGAGACCTTCTGGCCCCTTTTCTCAGAATTCTGCTGGGAGTTGATCAGTCAAAACGAGGACACAGAAAGATACTGTGTGGTGCACGGTCCCGAAAGCTTATCCTCTTCCCAGGCATTTCTCGTGTCCAACTAAACCAAGGGTGTCACCCATTCCCCATTTCTTTTCCTCAGAAAATCCGAATTCTTCTTCTGAATCCTGCTTGAGACTCATTGCCTCCTTTGCAGCTTCCTGATCTTGCATGGAAGGATAGACTTTTTTTGGCTGATTTGTTGCTAATGAATTTATTAATGTTGGCTGATGGTCCTGATGTTGTGCTGTCTGGGCTGGTTCCTTGATCATTTTGGGGGTGACTGTCTCTTCTCCCCTGTGGCCTAGGGCCCATGTCTCATGATACATATGTGTGTCTTCCAACACAAAGCATTGTGAGAAGCCACATGGGGCTCAGTAACTATTGTTGGTTTGATAGGTTGCTCCCGAATTCCCTTGACTCACTCTGGTTCCCTCGACTCCTTTGCTCCTGTCTTTCTTGCACCCATAAATCTGGGGGGATTTATAATCTCAAGTTCAGGCCAATTCAGGCTAAATCTATGGTCAGCAACTTTGAACTCATCTCTAAGTTCTAGGTGTCCATATGGGACACATTTTTGAAGAATTTGAAAACTCACGAGGCCTTTGC